GGATCTTTCGTTGTTGAGTGTGGGATCTTTCATTGCGGACTGTGCGGACTGTGCGGACTGTGGGCTCTTCGTTGCAGTGCGTGGGCTTCTCTCTAGTTGTGGCAGGCAGACTCCAGAGTGCGTGGGCTCTGCAGTTGCAGAGTGCGGGCTTAGTTGCGTCTCCGCATGCAGGATCTTAGTTCCCTGATGAGGGATCAATCCTGCGTCCCCTGCATTGGAAGGTGGATTCTTAACCACTGGACCATGAGGGAAGTCCCTAATCTACTTTTTAACTCCATAGATTTGCCTATTCTGGACATTTCATAGAAATGGAATCATACAAGTTGTGGTCTTTTGTGTTTGGCTTCTTTCACTTATCATCACGTTTTTGAGGTTCATCCGTGTTGTAGTGTGTGTCAGTTCTTCATTCCTTTTTATGGCTAAATAATATTTCATTGTATGAATGAACCATGTTTTGTTTATTCATTCAACCATTAATGGCTATTTTGGGTTTTCACTTTTTGGCTACTATGTTTAATGTTGTTATGGACATTGGTGTACAGTTTTTAATGGACGCACGTTTTCAATTCTCTTGGGTGTACAACTAGAAGTGGAATTACTGGGTGAATAAACACTCTATGTTTAACTTTTTTTTCTTTTTTTGGCTGCATCACGCAGCATGCAGTTTCCCCGACCAGAGATTGAACCCTCACCTCCTGCACTGGAAGTGCGGAGTCCCAACCACTGGACCGCCATGGAAATCCCTATGTTTAACATTTTGAGGAACTGCCAGACTGTTTTCCAAAGTAGCTGTGCCATTTTACATTCCCACCAAGAGACTATGAAGGTTCCAATTTCTCCACATCCTTGTAAACACTTGTTATTGTCCGTCTTTTTGATTTAGCCATCTTAGTGGGTGTGAAGTGCTAGCTCATTGTAGTTGGTTTTTTTTTTTTTTTTTTTTGGCTGCATTGGGTCTTCATTGTTGTACACGGGCTTTCTCTAGTTGCAGTGAGCAGGGGCTACTCTTCGTTGCGGTGCATGGGCTTCTCATTGCAGTGGCTTCTCTTGTTGTGGAGCATGGGCTTTAGGTGCATGGGCTTCAGTAGTTGTGGGGCACGGGCTTAGCTGCTCCGAGGCATGTGAGATCCTCCCAGACCAGGGCTCGAATCCGTGTCCCCTGCATTGGCAGGCGGATTCTTAACCACTGCGCCACCAGGGAAGCCCCTCATTGTAGTTTTGATTTGCATTTCCTAAGGCTAATGACGTTGAACATCTTTAATTGTGCTTATTGGCCATTAGTATATCTTGAACTTCATAAAAGAAATAAAATCTTTGAAATAAAAACTGTCTATTCACATCCTTTGTCCACGTGTTAATTGGATTATTTGTCTTTTTATTGTTGCGGTTTGCAAGATCTTAGTTCCCCGACCTGGGATTGAACCGGACCCTGGCAGTGAAAACTCTGAGTCCTAACTGCTGGACTCCCAGGGAATTCCCTAAGAATTCTTTATATATTCTGGATACATGTCCTTTAATAGATATGATTTGCAAATATTTTCTCTCATTCTGTGGATTGTCTTTTCACTTTCTTGATGGTATTATTTGAAGCACTAAAGTTTGTTTTTTTTTTAACTTTTTTATTTTTGGCTGCATTGGGTCCTCGTTGTTGCGCGCGGGCTTCTCTTCATTGTGGTGCACAGGCTTGTCTTTGCAGTGGCTTCTCTTGCAGAGCACGGGCTCTAGGAGCATGGGCTTCAGTAGTTGTGGCTGCTTTTTTTGTACAAACAGGTAAGAGTGAGCAATTGTTATCACTTAGGGATAGTAACAAGGTCAAGTCCTGGAAGCATCCTTGACCTTGACCCTGGAAGCTAAGGGTCAGCCTTGCAAGCAGGTTGTTCTAAGGACAGAAGTTGCAGGCCTGCTGTGTTAAATCTGTTCTGTACACAAGCTGTATGATATTGATTTACAGCTGGGAAAGCAATCTTGCATTCCTGGCATAAGTCCCATTTGGTCATGGTGTATGATCCTTTTTTATGTTGCTGGATTCAGTTTGCTGGCATTTTGTTGAGAATTTTTGCTTCTATGTTCCTAAGAGATATTGCTCTATAGTTTTATTTTTTTAAATTAATTAACTAATTAATTAATTAATATATTTTGGCTCTGCCACTTCTCAGTTGAGGCACATGGGCTCTTCATTGTGACATGCATGCAGGATCTAGTTCCCCAACTAGATCGAACCCAGGGCCCCTGCACTAGGAGCATGGGGTCTTACCCACTGGACTACCAGGGAAGTCCCTAGTTTTCTTTTCTTGTGATGTCTTTGCTTGGTTTTGATAACAGGGTATTGCTGGCCTTACAGGATGAGTTGGGAAGTGTTCCCTCTTCTTCTATTTTTGGGAAGAGTATCTGAAGGATCTTCTTTAAATATATGGTAGAACTTGGGACTTCCCTGTTGGTCCAGTGGTTAAGACTCCATGCCTCCAATGCAGGGGGCCTGGGTTCGATCCCTGGTCAGGGAACTAGATCCCACATGCTGTGTGGCCAAAAAAAAAAAAGAATATATATATATATATGTATATAATGTATATAAGTATGTAAATATATATTTATATATTATATCTATAAATATATATATGGTAGAACTCATTAATTAAGTCATCTAGGCCTAAGTGGGAATCTTAGTTCCCTGACCAGGGATCAAACTTGTGTACCCTGCAGCAGAAGCACAGAGTCTTAACTTGTGGGGAGTTTTGTTTTTTTTTTTTTTTTTTTTTTTGCAGTACGCGGGCCTCTCACTGTTGGGGCCTCTCCCGTTGTGGAGCACAGGGGCCGGACATGCAGGCTCAGCGGCCATGGCTCACAGGCCCAGCCACGCCGCGGCATGTGGGCACCTCCCCGAGTGTCCCCTGCATCGGCAGGCGGACTCCCAACCACTGCGCCACCAGGGAAGCCCTGTGGGGAGTTTTAAAATGACTAATTCAATCTCTGTACTTGGTTTAAGTCTATTCAGATTTTCTATTTCTTCGTGAATCAGGTTTGGTAGCTTTCTAGGAATTTTTTCATTTCATCTAAGTTATCTAATTTGTTGGCATGCCATTGTTCACAGTATTTCCTTATAATTGGTTTTTCTGGTCTAGCTAAAGGTTTGTCAATTTTGTTGATCCTTTCAAAGAAACAACTTTTGGTTTTGTTAGTTTTCTCTGTTTTCTTTTTTTTTTTAACATTAAAAATGTATATTTTATTTATTTATTTACTGTATTCTTGCCTGCGTTGGGTCTTACTTGCGGCACACAGGATCTTTGTTGTAGCACGTGGGACCTTTTGTTGCTGCGCATGGGCTTTCCATTGCAGTGCACAGGCATCTCTCTAGTTGTGGTGCACGGGCTCCAGAGTGCATGGGCTCTGTAGTTTGCAGCATGTGGGCTGACGAGTTGAGGCACGTGGGTTCAGTAGTTGTGGCATGCGGGCTTAGTTGCCCCATGGCATGTGGGATCTTAGTTCCCCGACCAGGTATTAAACCCGTGTCCCCTGCATTAGAAGGCGGATTCTTTACCACGGGACCACCAGGGAAGTCCCTACTTTTCTATTCTCTATTCCATTAATTTCTATTCTAATAGCTATTATTTCCTTCTTTCTGCTTGCTTTAGGTTTACCTTGTTCTTCTTTTTCTAGCATTCTTTTTCTAACATGTAAGTTTGAGTTACTGACTTGAGATCTTTATTTTTTTATTATTTTTTAAAATTTATTTTATTTATTTACTTTTGGCTGTGTTGGGTCTTCGTTGCTGTGTGCAGGCTTTCTCTAGTTGTGGCGAGTGGGGGCTACTCTTCCTTGCAGTGCACGGGCTTCTCATTGCAGTGGCTTCTCTTGTTGCAGAGCACGGGCTCTAGGTGCGCGGTCTTCAGTAGTTGTGGCTCGCGGGCTCTAGAGCGCAGGCTCAATAGTTGTGGTGCACAGGCTTAGTTGCTCTGCGGCTTGTGGGATCTTCCTGGACTAGGGCTCGAACCCGTGTCCCCTGCTTTGGCAGGCAGATTCATAACCACTGTGCCACCAGGGAAGCCCAAGATCTTTATTTTTAATTTTTATTAAAAAAAAATTTTTTTAACTGCGCTATGCAGCATGTGGGATCTTAGTTCCCTGACCAGGATTGAACCTGTGCCCCCTGCAATGGAAGTGCGGAGTCTTAACCACTGGACCACCAGGGAAGCCCCTCAAAGTATTTTCTAATTTCCCTTGTAATTTCTTTGAGTCACTGGTAATACTTATAAGTACGCTGTTTAACTTTCATGTACTTGTGAGTTTCCCAAACTTTTTTGTCATTGACTTCTAATTTCTTTCCACTGTGGTCAGACAAAATACTTTGCATGATTTCAATCCTTTTAAATTTGTGGGGTCTGGGGACTTCCCTGGTGGTCCAGAGGTTAAGACTCTGCGCTCCCAATGCAGGAGGCCTGGGTTTGGTACACGGTCAGGGAACTAGATCCTGCATGCTGCAACAAAGATCCCCCATGCCGCAACTAAAGACCCAGTGCAGCCAAATAAATAAATAAATAATTTAAAATAAATTTAAAAATTTGTGGGGTCTGGTTTTATGGCCTAGATATGATCCATCCTGGGGACTGTCCCACATGTGCTTGAGAAGGACATGAATTCTGCTTTAGGTGGTGGCCTCCTTCTTGCTCTGCATTCTCCCTTGGATCCCTTGGATCACTTGTTTTGGGGGGAGATAGCTGTCATGTTTGAGGGCACTCAAGCGGCCCTAAGGAAATGTCTACATGGTGAGGAACTGAGGCCTCCAGCCCACAGCCATGTGAGTGAACAGGCCATTTGGAAGCACTTCCTCCAGCCCCACTCAAGCTTTCAAATGGGTGTACCCCCACTGACATCTTTCCTTCAACCCCAGAACCACCCCACCCAACCACTCCTGAAATCTCGACCCACAGACACTGTGACAGACAGTAAATATTTATTGTTCTTAGTCACTTAGTTTTGTGTAATTTGTGATTATGGTAATACAGTTAGCCATAGCTCTGTTGGCTTTCAGGAGCACAAGTCTCGAAGCACAGTTGAACTTCAGGCAGAAGTTTTGTCTTTTCTGAGGAAAAAACATTGAAAACATGGATTAATAATTCTTTTCTTGTTGAAGCTGCCAGAGGCAAAGGCACACCTCCTGGAACGATGACCTCAAGGCCTTGAGGATGAAAACCAGGTGGAATGACTCTGATTGGGGGAGTCATTAGGGGAATTCTGGTTTTCTGATGCCAAAACTACCTATGCCTGGTAAAATAAACTGCTGGAGATCCTGAGTCAGTCTTCACCTTGTCACCAAAAAGACTGGGAGGCAACAATCTCAAAGATGGCACACCCTTCACCCCGACAAAGGCAAACCACAGCGCCTCCTCCTTGGTTAAGCTGAACAGTGGCTTTCTCATGGAAAAAAAAAATTTTTTTAAACAGAAATCAAGTTTCTTTTGTTTGTTTGATACAACTTGGATTCATTCCCGTATTTTATAAGATGTGGCCTTTAATATTTCCATGAATTAATATGAGACACATAATGCTTTCTAAAGACTGGTTTTACTAGAAAAATGGTACAGATGAACCGGTTTGCAGGGCAGAAATAGAGACACAGATGTAGAGAACGTATGGACACCAAGGGGGGGAAAGTGGCGGGGGTGTGTGTGGTGGTGGGATGAATTGGGAGATTGGGATTGACATATACACACTAATATGTATAAAATAGATAACTAATAAGAACCTGCTGTATAAAGAATAAAATAAAATTGAAAAATTAAAAAGAAAGACTGGTTTTACATTCTGTTTATCTGAAGGGAACCCATTTTCAGTTTGATACAGTTAATTATTTGCAAAACTACGTGTGTGTGTGCACGACGGGAGCACTCATGTTTGCGTGTGCACACACATTAGTATATTCTTCTAGGGTGGTCTATATTTTTTCATCAGATTTTCAAAATATACTACCATCCATAAAAAGTTAGGACCTCTTAGTATAAAAGAGAGGAAAAAAATGGCAGTTACAAGGGGAGTTGGTTCTAAGGATGGGACCAATTTAGGTGTGTTTCTAGGCTCAGGAGAAGGAGCCAGTAGAGAGGAGGGTTAGAAGACTGGAAAGGCAGGAAGGCCAGGGAACAAAGGTCCCCAGACAGTGCCTGTCCCCTGAGGTGTCCGAACCTCGGGCTGGCAGAGACCAAGATACCCACAGCTCTCTCGCCCCCACTCCTGTCTGTACCTGGGTCCTCCTGCTGTGCTGTGCTGGGGAGCCGCTCCCGCTGCCTCAGGGCCTCCAGGCCCGCCAGGTCAGGCAGGTGGCAGTGGCTGCGCATGACAGTCACCCGCTGGCCCTGGGTGATGGCCCGGCTGCGGCAGCCCATGCGGGCCTGGTCCCGGCACATCCAGTATACCTTCTCCCCGGCCGCCTTCTCCTTCCTGTAGAGGAAGGACTCGTACACCAGGAACCTGCCCCCGAGAGAGGTCCTCAGGAACTCCAGGGGCTGGAGGGTTTCTGGAAGGAACATGACGTGTGAGTGGGGTGCCTGGGCCGGGCCTTGGAAGCAGGGGACAGAGCTTGGGTGCCAGGGATGGAGACTGCTTCCTTTGTCCCACCAGCCAGCTCTAGCCAGGAAACTGCAGACCCCCCAGCCCCCGCAGGTCCCTCTTTGGTCCCTGCACTCCACCCCAGCCTGTGCTGCAGGGCCCTGGGGACTGAAGCTCAAGCCACCACAGCCCTGATGCCCTGGAGTGCAGACTGGTTGTCTGTCTGATGGCTGTGGTGCTATCGGGCAGGCTGGCCCTGCAGCCGCCCAAACACTGAGCTTTCCTGCAGGCCTCTCCTGACCCTGTTTGGCCTTCACGCTGGCTGGCAAGCAAGCACCCCAGGGCAGGGACTGGGCTGAACTGGAATACTCTGGAAGGGCCATGGTTGGTCTGGACAGTGCACTAGGGGCCTCCCGGCTCCCTGTTCACCCTCCCCTTGGCCAGCTGGCAACCAATCAAATTCTCCCTTTTGAGACTTTTAAGAATCTGAACTGAAAGCTCCTGACATGTTGGGGTTGGGGTGGCTGAAGGCACTGGCAGGAGTGGGGAGGGAGAGGGGAGACAGAGGGTCCCCCAGGTCCAGGAGCACTGCCCCACAAATGGGTGCCAAGCATTTCCTGCAGCTGCCAGTAATGCCACTGCAGCCCCTGGCCCCATTTTTTCCAGCAGTCTGAGTTGGTTTCTCCCACTGACAGCGCATTCCAGATGAGGACCAGTGCCATTAGTGTGGAGTCCAGATGTGGCCCCTGCCCTAAGGGAGCCCACAGCCCAGGAGGACAGACACCACTGGACATGGGCCACAGGAGGAATGTCCCAGCAGGCAGCCTCCAGCCTGTGTTCTGAGCTGTCCCCAGGGGCTGCTGGGCCAGCAGGGAGACCAGGGCCCGGCCCCTGCCACCCCCCTCTCACCCACACCTGAGCCTTCCCTCTGGGCTGGGCTGGGGAGCTGCTCCCGCTGCCTCAGGGCCTCCAGGCCCCCCAGGTCGGGCGGATGGCAGTGTCTGCGCATCACCATGACCCGCTGGCCCTGGGTGATGGCTCGGCTACGGCAGCGCATGCGGGCCTGGTCCCGGCACGTCCAGTACACCTTCTCCCCGGCCGCCTTCTCCCGCCTGTAGAGGAAGGACTCGTACACCAGGAAGCTGCCCCCCAGAGGGGTCCTCAGGAACTCAGGGCCTCCTGGGGAGAAATGGGAGAGGGGGTCGGGGGAGGAAGAGCCTGGAGCCAGGCCTGGAGCCGAGGAACGAGGGGGGCCGTGACCCCGTTCTCACAGCCTAGAGCAGCATGGCTCCTGGCATGAGACCCATGGACCCCACCCCACGCTGCATCTACCTCCTCACAGCCCAGGACACAGGCCCCCCCATCCCCCAGACTCAGCCTAGCCTGAGCTCCCAGGGCTCCTTTCCCAAGCCTGAGAGAGAAGGGAGGCGGGAGACTGGTGAGGTGGAGATCACTGAAGGCAGAGTCTGTCTCCTCCACCTCGCAGCACCTGCAGGAAGGCGGTGTCTTATCCGAGGTGCCGGCAATGGGATGGCACAAGGGCCTCTCGCCCTTGCTAAATTGGAGGAATTAGTGGACAGGCCCTACGGGGGATAAGCAACCAGGAGCGAAATGGTAGTTGCGCACAGCCCCTTGTGCGTGGTGGGCAGTGGGGCTGTAGAAGGATCCACTCACCCAGGGAGCCAGGCTGGGTGGGCTTTGACGTGAGGGCAGGAGGGGAGGCAGGGAGCGGCTTGGGCTACTGTCCTGACGTGTTGAGAGGGGGGACCCAGAAGGTGGCCACGCCCTTCTGCTCCGAGGACTCCCTTCCCGCCGTCCAGGCACCAGGACCACGCAGGAGGGGTGGAGGGGGATTCAGGGGTCCGTCAGCACAGCAGCAGGGATGGCAGCCATAGTGGGGGGTTGGTGAGAATGCCCTGGAGAAGGGGGGCCGGGGTGGGGGGTGAGTGGCTGAAGGGGAGGTATATGATGTGGGGCATGTTTCTGCTCCCCCCGCACCCGGTGAAAATGTCCACTGAGGGATGAAAAAGGCACAGGGTGTGAGGCCAGAAATTCAGAGAGGAGAGGAGACGGCAGAGATGCTGACCCAGGTCAGATGCTGGGCAGAGGGGGTCACCTGGTCATAGACCTGGCAAGGCAAGAGCTCACCCAGCCTCAGCGGGGAGACTCTCAGAACAAGCAGAGTCCAGTGGCCAAGCCTAGGCCCGAGGTGTCTCCAAAGTAGGGGTCTAGGGCAGGCCCCAAACAGGGGGACTGATGAGGACTGTCTGCATGAAGAGCAATGAGACAGGTGCCCGCCCTAGGGGAGGAAGAGTCTGGGGTGTGGGGGAGGAGGAGGAAGTCTGCACTGACATGAAACTCCCTGTTTCCCTGCCCAAGTCCCTGGAGCCGGCAGCCAGGCTGAAACCGCTGCAGGAGGTTGGTCCTAGGGCTCTGAGGCCTGGGGTCTCGAGGGTCACCTGGTCGGCACCCACATACGGAGCGTGTGGGTCTCTCCTTAAACCTGGCTAAGGATCACTGGCCACGTGGGTCAAAGGTTCTCACACCATCTTACATGATGAAAAAGTCAAGACTCTTACACAAAGTATCACAAATGAGACCATGCAAAGCAATTTAAAGCATATACAACAATCATTCCTCCTTTAGTTTTGCTGCTTTATACAACTGTGTGATCGACAGAAAATTGAATGGTATGTACCTGGCTAGAAAATTTCACAAGTTACCAAAAAAAAAAAAAAGAGAGAGAAGCTTCACCCTGAATGGCAGAGACTAAAGAAACTCATAGAGAAAAGGTACTTGGAGAAAACAAGGCCACTGCCAGAGGCTGGACGGCAGGGCCGCTGCACTCCTCAGAGGATGGAATGCAAAGGAGTTCAAATACAAGAGTGAAAGTTAAAAAAAAAAGTCCTTCCTTTCCAGAAGGACTGGAAAGCAAAATCAAGGAAATGTCAGAAAAATGGGGACTCGAAAGTCATTGAACACGAGGAAATTTTCATGAGTGAAGGACACGGTTTCTGGCCTGAAAAGGCCCCAAGTGCCCCCAGCAGAGCCAGGTACCACAGGGATGGAGACACGACCCTATACCTTCAAGCAAAGACCCCCTGCATGCACCTCGGAAAGATGCAGTCATTCGAGCACAAACACCAGACAACCATGGAAAAGGAGCCACAAACAGCCACACCTCCACTGCAGTGTGTTCCCACTCAGCTGTGGACAGATTTATAGAACAAAAGTGCAACAGTGGGGCTTCCCTGGTGGCGCAGTGGTTAAGAATCTGCCTGCCAGTGCAGGGGACAAGGTTCGAGCCCTGGTCCGGGAAGATCACACATGCCGCGGAGCAACTAAGCCCGTGAGCCACAACTACTGAGCCTGTGCTCTAGAGCTGCGAGCCACAACTACTGAGCCCACGTTCCACAACTACTGAAGCCTGCGTGCCTAGAGCCCGTGCTCCACAACAAGAGAAGCCACCACAATGAGAAGACCGCACACCTCCATGAAGAGTAGCCCCTGCTCGCCACAACTAGAGAAAGCCTGCACACAGCAACAAAGACCCAAAGCAGCCAAAAATAAATAAATAAATAAATAAATAAATAAGGTTATTTTTTTAAAAAAGTGCAACAGCTGCCTCGAGAGGAGGGGGCAGTGGGTAACTGCTGGGTCCTTGCCGTCTCTGGTCGGAAGTCAACAGGAAATAAAAAACCAGTTGACAGCAATGGAAGGAAGCACGCTTTAGGGAAGAGGGCAGCAGATGCCCTAAGGAACAACGGAAAGGGGACTTCCCTGGTGGTACAGTGGTTAAGACTCAGCGCTTCCACTGCAGGGGGCATAGGTTCAATCCCTGGTTGGGGAACTAAGGTCCTGCATGCTGTTCTGCACAGCCAAAAAATTAAAAAAGGAAGCAAGGAAGGAAGGAAGGAAGAAAACAAAAAAAAGAACAATGGCTAAGTGGTTATTTGGGGTGGGAGTTGGGGGTAAGGGTGGGGTGAGGTTAGATCGTCCCAAAGTACATAAAAGTTATAAGGAAATGGGATAAAAAGAGAGTCAGAAAAAAAAAATCAGAGATCTCCAGTTTGAGAGAATTTTAGGGCCAAAAAGGCTCTAAAGGCGACTCAGATAACTCAGAAAAGTATGGGCCTGGGAACCCCTGAGGGAGAGCAGGGAGCAGAGAAGGCTGGGCCGAGGCTGCTCTTAGCAAGATGAGCCGGAATATGCACGTTATTGTGGCCACAAGAGTCAAACATAAGCACTGTGGGGCCAACAAAGGTGGGAGGAGGGGGCCTGTGACCCTCGTCATAGAGCCCAGAGGGACAATGGTAGATGATCAGGCAGAACAGCTGGAGGAGAACAGAAGTCAATGACAGGAACGGGTCACCTTCAGCCCTTAAACCACGTCTGTAGGACGTGCTTGTTACTGGGCACGGTGTCAGCCACCCACACTGGAAAAATGAGAAAACAGCTTGTGCAATTAGCTTTCTCTATGAATCCTATACATTCTTAAGAAAAAAGAAAGGATGAGAAGGAGGAAAGGGAGCTTGGGTTGATCAAGTGCTGCAGAGATTCTGGGCTGGTCTGAGCAGGAGAGTGAGGCCCACTGCCCAAGAGAAAGGGTGACGCCCCAAGTCACCTAATCGACTTGGGGATAAGGTGAGGTGGACCAGGAGGGGGTGTGGGGGTAGGGAGAGGAGACAGGAGGGAGCTGTAACCTTCCAGAGGGTCCCCAGTAAGGACGGGGAGGATGCTTGCTGGAGGTCAAGAGGGAACGGGGCGGGCAGTCTGGGTCTTCTGACTGTCTCCTGAGGCCGCTCCCCGGTCTGGCCTACCAGAGCTCCCTCGTTGAGCCGTGCCAGGGCGTTTCTCTCGCTGCCGCAGGGCCTCCAAGCCCCCCAGGTCGGGCGGGTGGCAGTGGCCTCGCATCACTGTCACCCGCTTGCCTTGGGTGATGGCTCGGCTACGGCAGCCCATGCGGGCCTGGTCCCGGCATGTCCAGTACACCTTCACCCCGGCCACCTTCTCCCGCCTGTAGAGGAAGGACTCGTACACCAGGAAGCTGCCCCCCAGAGGGGTCCTCAGGAACTCAGGGCCTCCTGGGGAGAAATGGGAGAGGGGGTCAGGGGAGGGAGGTTGGAAGCTGGGGTGTGAGCTGGAGCAGGGCCTGGGGCTGGGCCAGGCCTGGCGTCACCCCCCTCCCACCTCCTGGCACCTCGGGGAGCAAGACTGGAGTACAGGCAGAGCGCCAGGCCAGCGGGTGTGAACTCACCCAGGTCCTCGTCCTGGTCCTCCTCGCCTCGCGGCTGGGCCAGGAGGTCCTGATCTTTGGCCTTTGACCGCTTTCTGGGCCGGGGCCTGGTGAGAGTCAGGGGGCCCGGCCCCCTGCGGTAGAACAGGCTGTCCACGCCTTGGAGCAGCTTGTCCGCTTGGCCCCCGGGGTCGCCCGGCCTGGCCCGCAGCAACTCCATGGCCTTCTCCTGCTGCCGCCGGGCCTCCAGACCCTCCACGTCAGGCGGATGGCAGTGGCCACGCATGACAGTCACCCGCTGGCCCTGTGTGATGGCCCGGCTGCGGCAGCCATGCAGCGCGTGGTCCCGGCACGTCCAGTACACCTTGTCCCCCACAGCCTTCTCCCGCTTGTAGAGGAAGGACTCGTGCACCAGGAAGCTGCCCCCGTAGCAGGTCCTCAGGAACTCCAGGGGTGGGGGCCCTCCTGGAGGAGGAAGTGGGGAGGGGGCTGGGCAGGTGCAGGCTGGCAGAGCTCTGCTCCTTTAGTTTACCATGCAGGGCAGGGCCCTGGGTGCATCCCCACTGATTGCCCACCCAGTGCCCCAAGGAGTCCGTGTGGCTCCTCTCCTGGTGGCCGGTGAGGAGGCCATGGCTCTGGGTGGTCAAGCACCACGTCCCAGGTCACACACTGGGGAGGGCCAAGCTGCCTCTGATGCCACACCCTGCCTGCTCAGTCACTCCCGGCCATACTTTTTCTTAGGGTTTGTTTGAAAATTGTATCTAATTATCGAATAACACATGCACACGCCATAAAATGAAATGGGACCAAAAGATACACAGTGAAAGACAAGTCATTCTCACCCAGCCCCCGGCACCCAGCACAGCAGCCGCCTTAAATCCCTAAATCCTTCAATCCTTTCCAGGTCTGGAGGCACCCAGCCTATGGGACCAAGCCCACCTCCCAGTTACTGGTAATAAAAACTGCCACAAAGAACAAAACAAAACCCAACAAACAAAGAATAAGAACCTCTGCAAAGACTCCATCTACCAGTTACTCAGTGACAACACACGCTGGACCAGGGCTGGCACTGCAGCGCCAGATCCCCTAACGGCGAGGCTATCACACATCTTAGGAGCAACCTCCTGACCTGCAGAGCTTCAACAAGGCTGCCCAGCTACATGAGGCAGAGCTGGATCTTGAACCTGGAGCACAAAGCTCAAGCCTCCCACCAGGCCGATCTTCCCAAACTTCAAAGGTTACCAGAATCACGTGGGGTCCATAAACCCCAGGTTTTTGCATCAGGAAGCTCCAGAAGGACCTAGGCCGCCGGGTTCACGAGTACCAGTTCTACCCCTTGGGCTTAATGATTACTTGGACACATTTATATTTTAAAAATCGTTTTGACTTTGAGCACATTAAGAAGCCACGTGGGACCCACATTTATCTTTGGGCAGAGGAAAGGGCTGTGGTTCCCACCTGCCTGAGAGTAGAGCCGGGGTCGGGGGGCACTTACCGGTCCCCAGCGTCGGTCGTTTCTTGGGAGGCAAGCTCAGCAGCGACAGGGCTCGGAGCCCCTCATCCTCCTCTGGAGCTGGCTTGTTCTGCACTGGCCCCGGGGCCGGCTCCGGCTCCTCGGGGCACAGCCACGGGCCCACCCCCTCCAGGGGCTCCTCCACTCGGCCGCCGGGGCCCTGGGGATCCCCCAAGCCTTCGGGTAGGGCTGGGCTGGGCAGCTTCTGTCTCTGGCGCCGGGCCTCCAGGCCCTCCTCATCGGGCGGGTGGCAGTGGCCCCGCATCACCGTGGCCCTTAGGCCACGGGTGATGGCCCGGCCCCGGCAGCCCAGCTCGGTGTGCTCGCGGCATTTCCAGTATACCTTGTCCCCCACAGCCTTCTCCTGCTTGTACAGGAAGGACTCCAGCACCAGCAGGCGGCCCCCAAATGGGGTCCTCAGGAACTCCAGGGGCTGGGGGGCTGCTGAAGGCAAGGGGAGGGCCAGGTCAGCTGACACAGAGCAAGGCTTGAGCCAGGGGCACGGATGGGAACACAGGGATTGAGGTGCCCTTGGATGACGTCCTGCAATCGTCACACCAGTCTGGGTCAAGGCCCAGGAGGCCCTGCTCAGAGCAGGGAAGAGATGGCTAAGGTCACCTCACTGGAAAGGGGGGTATGCGAAGCCCAACTCTGAGCATGCAGGACCACAAAAGTGGCCAGACAGGGGCAGCTGGCCCAGAACTCACCTGTGTCTGGCTTGCTGTGTTTCAGTTCCTGGGCCTGGGGGCTTGGTTGGACTGCCCCCTGCTGTTCCTCTACTGGCAGGATCTGGGGGGTCCCAGCCAGGGTGTCAGGGCCAGACATCTCCAAGGACAGGACACAGTGCACTGCTTCGGGCTGGGAGTCCACTCCATCCCCATTCTCAGTGGAGGCTGTCAGTAGGACCAGTTCGGAGAACTCCGTGGGCTTCGTGGGGTCTGCAGGGACGACATCTGTGCCCGGCTCAGGGGACTCAGGGGAGGGCTCCTGGCCGGCCTTCACGCTCTCGCCCTCCTGCTCACTGGGCTCGGGCAGGGGCATTCCGGGACCGATGGCCTGGCCCCCAGGCCACGCTCAGGGCCCAGCAGATGGATTTCTCCTCCACCTCCCTGGAAGGAACCCAGCAGTCCAAGGGCTCCGTCCTAAGGCAGGAGGCAAAATCCCATCAGTGGAGATGCCCTTGGACCTGGGTTTAGGAAGAATCTGGGCTGGAGGTTGGGGCAGATGGGGCTGCCTCCGTGCCCCCAGGGAAGGACCTGAATGGAGCCAGAGAACCCTGGGCTGGTGCTTCTGCTCTCTTGGTAGCCTTGGGTCCGTCACCTCCCCCAGTCAAACCTCACTTTCCCATCTACAAAATGTGCCCAAAACAGGGCTCTCAAGGGGTTACTGGGGTGACCAAGGTGCTGACAGCTGAGTTACTAGGAATCCAGGCCCACAGGTGCTGAGCACAGGGTGAAGTGCTTCCACAGGTTTTTCCATTTAACCTTCAGCCCCATGTTATGAAAGTTGATCTTTCTCATTGACCCAGGTTACAGATGAGGACACTGAGGCATGCAGCCATGAAGGCAGAGCTGAGAGTCCAGTCGAGGTGGGTCCAGAGCCCGCCCGTACAGCACCTGGGGTACCTCGTCCAGGATAACAGGAACCAGTCTTCCAGAGCACCAGGCGTTGGGGAAAAGCACTTTGGGGACATGAGTTCAGGTCACCAACCCTCCCAGAATGCCTGGTGCTCTTCACCCTGACACTGTGTCACTGGGAGCATGGGCTGGGCCCCTGGTGGCACTCAGCAGACCCCAAAGGAGGAGCCTGGCCCTGAGAGGAGGGACTCCCTGGATTCACAACTAGATCCATCCCCCATCCCAGGCTAGAGGCCCCGGGGCACCCAGTGCTAGGGGACACCAGGGCCCCACGAGGGCAGCGACCTTGTGTCTGAGCTGGTGCTGGCTCTGCCTCAGCTGAGTGGGGACAGGGCTGTGGAGGTGTCCAGAGAATCCGTGGTCACTGAGGTCTCCTTGGCTTCTGGTCTGGAGAAGCAGAAAGGATGGATGACCGGCAGGGCTGGCCTGGAGACCGGGGCCCTGGGGCATCAGTGTGGGGGCATAAGTGGCCATTTTGTCTTCCTGGGGGACTGGGTGGTGGGTGCATGTCAGGGTCTTTCCCATCTATCAGTACCAGCCCAGAAACAGGATGCGGCCTCCCAGCACGTTTCAGCTTCCCCACCTGTGAGCTGTCATTCCCCATCCCAAGCTCTATGGTTCTAATACCTGGGTCCCCCATTCCTGCCCCGACATTTCCTGGTCTAGGGCCCA